AATATAGTCGTAAAATGATTTTAGGTGAAATGACTGTCGGCGAAATGACTATCGGTGAAATAATTATGTAGGTAAAATAACTGTCAGCGAAATAATTGTAAATGGGTTTTGGCAAATTAATATGTCGGGGAATCAGTAAAACGACCCGAATCCACAAATATTAGAAGTGAACCCTATTTTTTTTTTTTTTAGACATTACACTTGACTGGTAAGCATAGATACTAAATCAACAACCCGGTTAAAGTGAAACTCTAAAAAAAAACCTTCATTGGCCAAACAATGATGGTCATTGGTTAGAGTTAAATCGATAAATAATGATCATCGCTTATAATTATCCGAAGCGTAGCGAGGACTTTTATGTCTACTGCAAAACCATGCAATGTCCGTTGACAGCACCCAATCAATTTTTCATATTAGGTTATATTGCATATTTCTGCAAAACAACAAACCACGTGATTTCCAATCAGATTGTTGCTTCGGACATCTATCAGCTCCTGATACCTAGTCATTTAGAGTTAAATCGATAAATGATGATCATCGTTTATAATCACCCATACCGATGTCTATCGATATTTTTTCATCGATGACAAACGATTATTGATTAGTAATCGATGGTTATCTGCTAAAAAAATTTCCCGATGCATTTAACTTTAACGGAAATACCGATTATTCGAATCGATACTTTACATTAATTTTTAAGCCATCCGATCAGTAATTTATTTCATTCAATGAAGGACAAAATTTTTATTCGACCAATAGGAATTTGGAGGAATTAGTAAACCTGATCTGTGGTCGATACATACATACTTTAAAAAATGATGCAGATCCGATCACTAGATCACGAAAGTTTTGACTGTAAAAATTATACGTACGAAGTTCTTTTTCTCGGATGAATGCATCATATAATTTTTATTTATTTATTTATTTTTACCCTCTTTTTTATAATGGGAATGTAAATGTTAACTACTGAATCAAAATTTATCTAACCTATTAGCAAATCTCTAGACTAAATTTAGCACAAAGTCAATTCGTTATAATATATTTACTACATTAAAATTGCTTGTTTATTTTATTTGTTCGTTTCATTTGCCCTCTCCCCCCCCTTCCGAGAGTCCTGGAAAGTGATGCTAAAACTTCAAACGGCCTTATGCAATAGAATTTTTTAGCGAAAATGTTAAAGATTAATTATCGAACATTTTTTGACAAAAAAAAATTACTTAACAGATTTGTATACTTATTTAATGAAAGTTTTTGAAAAACTTAAGAACTAATAATTTATTCAATAAACCTTTTTTTTCTAATAACAGTCGACTGACTTTATACAGTACAAAACCATTGGTCCAAATTGGATATATCCAAATTTTGTCCCAAATCCCAATTCATACAGTAAGTTTGGGTCAAGTTCCACGGCTTTAACTAGCCCTAAATAATGGTTAATACCCTAGAAAGTCCCAAAGCCCCAAACTAGTTAGGTTTGGACGGCAACTATAAGTACAATGAACCTCTCTATAATGATTTTTTTTTATTTCATTCCGTCAGCTCATTATAGAAAGGGTTAGCTATAATTATTTATGATGATTAAAATAACACAAAAGACTATTTAAATAAATTAAGAAAATTTTCCTTACGAAATACAAGTTATTTATAGAATTTTTAGCGGATTAACTAAATGTCGTATATTATGTTTTGTTGCATAATTATTAGAACAATATTAAATTTGAAGTAGAATCAGTAAATAAAAATAAAATATCATCCTCCTTTAATAACAACTAAAAGTATAGTGCAAAGTAAATAGACTTTATAACAGATCATTATTATCGATATTGTTGGTATTAACGAAATGGAGTTTATTCGAAAAATGATCATTCGGAGCACAACCTTGTACACATTACGGTATGCTCCTATGATTCAGTTTAACATAGCACAGGTTGAATCAATGAATATCGGGTGCATACCGAAAGATAAGTTTCCTGTTTTGTACCCGATAGTCTACCATAGATCCACCAAATACCTGCTGTGCAACATATTGGTAAAATATCGGGAGGTAGAACTATAACAGCACAATATTAGGATATCCTGATAACTTATTCTTAGCATTCTGGGCCTAAAAGTAAAATATCTGGATATCCCAATGTTTTGCTATTATGTTGCTAATATCGATCTACCTCCCGATATCTTACCAATATTCTGCCAGTATGCTACTGTTATTCAGCAGTTATTTGGCGGATCTATTACTATTACTATGGCAGACTATCGGGTACATAACAGGAAACTTGTCTCCCGGTATGCACCCGATTTTCATTGTGTAGGTTTTGGCTAAACCGCTAAGCCATTAAAAATCTAGTGACTTAGCCTAGCCATAAAAATTTATCGCGTTTTTCGAAATGGTTGAAAATGGAAAAAAAATTTTTTTTCGAGTATACCCGTATACTGTATACCGGATTACCTTAGCACCTTGATTGAACATCCATGCTTGGTTTACTTACTGCTTCAAACAATAAGTACGTATGTATGTAATCAAACATCGACCTTAAATCAACGTATTAAGGTAATCCGGTATACAGTATACGGGTATACTCGAAAATAAATTTTTTTTCCCATTCTCAACCATTTCGAAAACGCGATAACCGGCTTGGATCACTGCTGTTTACAAATTATAAAATAAGTAGCTGCGCGACATTGTCGCGCTAAACCAGGAACGGACGAATATAAGCTTCATTTAGAAAAAATTTTGGACAGCTTCAATACAGAATAGTTATTTAAGTTATAATTTTGAATAAATATCGGGTATACAACTAAATACAGCATAACTATATTGATATGAGACACTATAATTTTAACAAACAAAAAATTTCATAAAATTTTTAGATGTATACTACACTAGTTAAAATCAAAAATGTTAGTAAAATATCAGAATCTGATATGTGACTTATTTGTAATTTATATGTAACCTAAAGCTAGCCTATATTTTAATAAGTCAATATAAGCTAGCTTTAGGTTAGGTTACATATAAGTTATATATAAGTTATATACCAGATACTAGTGCACGTCCTTACATCTGTGCTATAGGAATTATGAAGATAAACTATGATAAAAAATGGTTTTAGTATATCTCACGCCAGTTTCATACAAAATAACGTATTAAAAACAGCCCATTTTTACATAAACAATTTTGTGTAAATCAATTTTAAGCAGTGTTGGCATTCGGACTATGTCTAATAAAAATTTGGTTGAACTTGGATAAATATGGACATCTCTTTTGCCCAAAATTTCGGAATGTTTCAGGCTAAATGATAATAATTGGGCACAAATCGGGTGTCTGATTTTTAAGCTGATCACCCGATTGATTTCAATTTTTATTTCAACAAAATCGACATCAATCGGTTAGCTTTAGTGGTTAGGTGATAACGATAATCAGCTAAAAATCAGACTCCCGATTTGTACTTGATATGTAATCATTGGCCTTTGTTTGGCTTATTATGTCTGGAATGTTTCGGAGTAGCAAGCTCAAATGTTTGATTTGGACTAAGTGCCTTATATCCAATAGAAAAAAAATATGAACAATACGTTAGAGTGATGTACGTAGTTGATGTACGTAGTTACGTATGTACAGTCAACAAATAGAAAAAATGGCTAAGTAGTATGAAAGTCGCACATTCGATATAACATGTGGATATCAACGCGTACACAATATTCTAGATACGCAGATACAGGTTTGTGTGGTGTAAAATCATTTCCTGTAAACAGTAATTACTAACACCTGATCAGGATTATTACATGAAATAAGTCGCACGCAAGTAAAAGGAGACGGTTCTAACTCACACACCAACAATCAATTTCATACGAGAAGTAAGCCATATTTATAACCTTTCCGTATATTGTCATGATATTTATTAGATTCTATTATTAGTATTTCAAATTAACAGCTAGCTAACATTATTCAGGCAGAACCTAGCCGATGCTATATTCGACTGTTTACAATAATTACGGTGATGCTCAACGCAATCTCGGTTGCTATTTTTGTGAGCATATCCATTATAGTTTCATTTATGCATAACCATTACTACACTACATTATTAATAAAAACTCATGTATACAGTGTTTTAGTAAATAAAGAACTTCACATTCAGCACATAAGACTAATTTTAAATATGGGCTAGGTGCTGAGAAAAGGGACCAAATTGTCAAAACAAAAGATCTTCGGAAAATCAATTTTTATGTTGTAAATCTTATAATAAATTATAAGAAAGTACAAACTTTAAAGAGCAATATAGCAAAATTTTATTAATACAACTACTTTTATGTCTTAATTAAAAAATGATTCTAATCTTATTCTAAATTGATTTATATTAAAAAATATCTTTTGAAAAAATAGTCAATTTGGTCCCTTTTCTCAGCACCTAGCCCATATGAATATAAACAAAAGTTGATTATCTTCAGCTATTGATAATTTATTTATGTAGCACATAGCCTAATTGCGCACAGCTTCTTTGCAAATCTAATTATATATATATATGTGCTTTATTATACTGTAATATTATTTTGCTACAGTTTATTTCTTGGCCTTGCTTCGCTCGGCCTCATTTCAAACTTTACATTAAATATCACGTCACATCGCAGAATCGAGTTTTAATCATGTTTTATAGTCTTATGAATAAAATTTAAATTTAGAAAATGATTATCAAATTCTTTTGCTGCGATCCTTCATTATGGACTTTGACGTCAATTCATTCTGCCGGTAAAAATCCAATAAAAATAACCCGAAAAAAAGAAAGAAATTAAAAAGAAAAGAATATTTATAAATTTAGATATAGTAAAATAATAATAATAATAATAATAAAAGGGTTAAAGGAAACTTATCAAATGCATAGTAATTTTGCAATTAAAAAATGCAATTGCACTTCGCTATTACAATGTCTAAAACATCTTATAAAAAGATAATACAAAGGAAAAATTGCGCGGCCTAACCTAAACTATATAGCAAATTTGAATGTCTTTAACTAATTGTATCCATTCGTGTTATATTGCAATTCATTTACAATAGTTTTAATTTCATTAACAAACTTTTCTATTTCCTTATCACATTCAAATTTCAATTCTTCTTCAATCTTATTTGATTGACTCATTTTTTCAATAACTTTATGTAATGCTTCACTTGTCACAGTCACCTGAACATCTTTTTGTCCATCCTCATGCACCTCAGAAATTGATACTTTAATTTTACCATTCGAAAATTCGTTCTTACATTTAACAAAAATACTCTTGATCTTGACACGAGTAATTGTGAAAAGGTAATTAGAGGTATCATTTAACGTGACAGTTTTTTCGTCGGGATTGTAAATAGCATTTTTGACTGAATTATAAAGTTCGGTAGGTAAATTTGTTATTGATGGCTCTTGAGAAAGAACTTTGAATCGAAAATCCAAGGCAGATCTCGGACCAACAAAAGAAAAGAAAAGAAGTCTATTGTTTTCGAATTTAAATTTACGAGGTATTAATTTGCCTTCTGATGTAATGTTTGTTGAAACAATAACCCGCTTCAGAGCTTTGTTATCAATTAAGTGAATAGATGCTCTTTGGGTAACTTCAGTATTTTTCTGATATTTTAATTTAATTAGACGATTTTCAATAATTTTTGCTATTTCGGAAGAAATATGATTCATAAAAGTAGCTTTGGCATCTTTTTTATAACCAATTTCATATTTAAGAAGTTTGGAGAGAGGAATTGATTCTGGAAGATTCAAAACTTCCCTATATGCCGGATAAAAGAGTTGTTTCCCGATATTCACCCTAACCTTGAAGTCAAGATATTTGTTAGCGGGCTTGGCAGTTAGCTCTATTAATCGTTTAGTGATGTGTTCCACCGAAATCCGTTCTTTTTCAGGGGCAATGATATTGTTAATTTTCCTAATAGCAATTTGATATTTTAATTTTTTGTAAGATACAAATAAAAAAATGTGATGAAAAAGAATTATTACATACTCAAGGTTAAGATTTTCAAATAATGAAGAGAGTTTATCTTCTTCATTCATTTCTTCACCTTTATCTAAAATGAAGTATGCTTTGTTGACATTATTCCTATCGACGATACCATCATATTTTGAAAATAATACAGTTTTAAGTCCGACCAATGGTGGCTGAAGTGCAATAATAGCTTCTGTTGGGTGATTATAAACGATGATACTGTTGTAGACACAATCTTTAATCAAATTAAGAGCGATCTTTCGGGCCTCATTTGTGCCCATCACTTCTACGGTATTGTTTTTCTTGATAATGCAGCGAGCCTTGGAGCGTCTTTCAATTTCGTTGATTTTAGAGGAGTGTTTGCCTTTGATATGGCCAATCGAAGAAGGCGGAACTTGAATTGTTACAGTTTCCATGATACTGACTATAATGTTAGTTAAATAAGAGTAAGGTAATGCTATGGAACAACTAAAAATTTTTCAGATGGTTGGTGTATTGATTTGAAAATCTTTAAGGTACGTATGAGATTTTGAATTTTACGACTCGAGAAGGTTCCCCTTTATCGTTTATATACACATTTGCCTATTATAAATAAATAAGCTATAAACAAAAATCTAAATAGACAAAGTATTATATTCCATTCGTAGTAATTTTAATAGGGAATTGCCGAATACAGTAACAAAGGCTTGTTAAATTTTGCTAAATTGAGAGCGTTTAATAATAGAATCATCTAGACAAAACTTTGAATATATTTATTAACAATGACTATAACTTGTTAAATTATTTAATAATTGAATTATCTAGATAAAACTATTGAATATATTTGTTAACAATGCCAATAGTTTGTTAAATTTTGTTAAATTAAGAACGTTTAATAATTGAATTATCTAGATAAGACTTGTTGGATATATTTGTCAACAATGACGGCTGAAATCCTAGTTTTAAAGAGAAGCATGTCACATGCAGGTTGAAGATCACATCGCGAGTTGGTGCATCGATTGCAGAAATGTGTATTCTGACTCGTATTATATTGCAGAGTGCCAAGAAATCAATGCGGCGTCGCAGTATTGTGTAGACCAGTAATTATCATGCATAATTAACGCACTCACATACGTACGTACGAACCTCTGCTTGACCGATACAAGAAAATGTAATACAGTAAATTTAATAAACATATAATAAAGTAATAATTGTATAATATCTAATTTACTTTAACGGTCAAGTATGAAGATTAAATAAATTTGTCCTCTCATATCCTACATAACTATAACAGTAATGTTTACGGCTAAATTTAATTAAGCATAAGAACTACCTTTTTTGACCTCGATGTCGTACAATAAATATCACGTCTGGTAAAGTTACGCAATGAACTTTATTTGTATTGAACATAAATCTGTATCGTACCAATGTTTTTATTTCAAAAGTAAAATCACAGAATTATGGAACATAATTTCCACTTCTAGATCGAAAATAAAGTATTGCTACTACTCTATGGGTACCAATACGTCTAATTTAATTTCCGAATTAAAATTTGAATATTTTCTTCGTAATCTAGTGTGTTACCAATGCTAACCTCTAATATCTCTCGGCAATCGAGCAACTGATAACAGGGTGTCACGTGATCACAGGGACATAGAACTGTACAGTGGTTCATTATAGTTGTTAGCATTTGGATAAAAGTAAGGTTTAGCATTTTGAAAGAATGCATGTTATTTAGAATCTAATAAAGGATCCTTTATTTAATGTAGTAAAATACTATGGCCAGCATGCTCACAAAGTCGAACGAACATCAACCGTTTAAACAATAAAGTATCTCCAAGTGCACCATCTATAAGCGCTACCCCACTAAATGCATGCTCTAGTGTAGCCCAAATAGAACTTGGCTCTATAGATGCACCTTTTCTTATTATTAATATTATTAACTAACATTTATTAGCCCCCAGAGTAGGGTACCCTTATGTTAAGCAAATTACGGGCTGCACATCACCGTAGATCCTCCAATCAGAATTAACAAAATTGAACTTTTAGCGGATTAAATTAGGTAAACCTTTTTTTTATTTTGATTCTATATATTGTAGTATTAAAATAAAAAAATTCAATGAATTTGGTTTAACGGTTATCGAGAAATCCTTGCTAGAATTTTTGGAAAAACTAAACCATCTTGAAAAAAAAAATTCTTAAAATCGGCAAATTTCTTCTTTTTGAAACTTTAAACGATAAACGGTAATTTCTCGCCTGCTATCTATCCAAATTCAATGAAATTTTTTTTATTTTGATTCTGTGAGAGTTTGAAGGGTTAAAATAGAAAAATTTGTTGAATTTGAATAGATGGATGTTGAGAAATATCGATTAAAAGTTAAAAAAATTTTGCCGCAGCTTTTTTTTTTTTTTTTTTTTTTTTTTTTTTTTTATACAGATACCTAAACTTTGAATGAAGATTACTCGGAACTTACTTAACCAAATTCTTATTCCAATTCTATGAGATTACAGGATTAAAAAAGGAAGTTTTAATCGAATTTGGTTAGGCAAGTTTCGAGTAACCTTCGTTCAAAGTTTAGGTATCCGTAAAAAAAAAAGCTTCGGCCAAATTTTTTTTAGTTTTTAATCGATATTTCCCGACATCTACATATCCAAATTCATAGAATTAAATTAAAGCCAATTTCAATAAATTTGGATGGGTGGTTGTCGATCAAAAATTTTAAAAAAAGAATATTGCACTGAAAAATTTTATATAGACTTTAATCGATGATTGCTCAACAACCTTCCATCCAATTTCGATGAAATTTTTTCATTCTAATTCTGTGAATTAGTAGTATTAAAATAAAAAAAATTTCAATGAATTTAAATAGGTAGGTGTTGAGAAATATCGGTTAAAATTTAAAAAGAAATTTGACTACAGTTTTTCCTTAAAAGGTAAGTACCAAGTAATATTCGTTCAAATTTAGGCATCCGTAAAAAAAAAACTGCGGCCAAATTTTTTTTTAATTTTAATCGATATTTCTTAATACCATCTATTCAATTCAATTTATTTTAATCCTTCAAACTCGCAAAATCAAAATAAAAAAATTTGGATAGATCTTTGTTGAGAAATCGTCGTTTAAACTTTCAAAAAAAAAAAAAATTAGATTTTTTTCCCGATATTTCAAAATTTTTCAAAGCTTCTGGCAAAGGTTTCTCGATAACTAACCACTAAACCAAATTCAATAAACTTTTTTATTTTATTTTACTAATATATAAAATCAAAATAAAAAATAATGTTTACCTAATTTAATCAAATAGTTATTGATCTTCAGCCGGAATTTGTTTGACATAAGGGCGCCACCAGAGTAAGGATGGGTTCGGTTACGTTTTAGTCGCTTAGCCGGCTATAGCCGTAGTAGATGCTAGTCAGTCAGAGCGGCTTAGTCAACTGACTAAAATCGTAGCCGGTGCTAGATTTTTAACATGGGCTTTCTATTTTGAATCATTTATTATTTGTCACTCAAATATTAAGCTGTAAAATTGAAGGTGTACAAGTGTTTTGAATTATACGTTGAAAAAGTGACTAAATCGTTCAGAGCTAAAACTAGCTAAACCTAAACTCTACAACAAGTATTCTTCAATCAAAAGACCCTAAATACTTCGATTTGGCAGCAGAAAGAAGGTGTGGAGAGACTCGAAGCTTTTCGGATCTTGCTGCCGCTTACTTGGCGATTAAAATAAGCTTACCGTCGAATTACTTGTGTTGGTTACTAATATACTTCAGCCGGAAGCTAAGTATGTCTTTTTCTTTAAGTCAAGTTTCAGAGGGTTCCAGTCTTTAATACAATCGTTAAGATTCTTAACGATTGTCACGTGTATCACGTGTGATAACTGCTGCGGTTATCGGTGATCTGAGTTCTTACGTCACGGGTAAGTATGAATTAGCGTCACAGGTTCTGATGTCACGAAGATCGATTTTAATTAATTGTTGCATATCTATCACATGCATATCAATAATCTCTTTTCATATAAGCCTCAATTTAATATAAGCCACAAAACTGGTTATCCTCGCGATATTAATCCTAGCGTGACTTCGTCAACGCATAGGGCTAATTCTGAAGGACAATGATAAAAAAAAGCACATTTTTATAAATGATCGTCATTAGCTTTAATTGAGACAAAAAAGTTGAACGTTCGTTATGGTTAAATAAATCTCATACTATATATAAATATAGTGCAATCGATTATAACAGGTTCAAATTTTCCTGACGTTTGTTATAAATACATGCATAATTTAATAGGTTTGTAAGAAAAATAATCCGAAATTTTTTTTAAAAAAATTATTAAGTGAAAATTAACGGAATACCAATATGAAATTCAATCTTTTCCTGATCTCGTTGACTATCTTTGCTGTTGCTATTGCCTTGGCACGTCCAATTACCGATCATGATTTAGTGAAACGTGATCATAATTTAGTGAAACGTTACGATCATAATTTAGTGAAACGTCATAATCATGATTTAGAGAAACGTAAGTAATTTATCACTAGTTTTTTATACTTCCGAAATTAAGCACCCCTCGGAGCAATTTTTATAGCCAAAATTCTCGTGTTCTAATAATCGAATCTATGTAATTTTGGTACCATTCGAATCAGCTTGCCAAACTGATTCGAATGGTAACAAAATTATGCAGATTCGATTATTAGGTCACGAGAATTTTGGCTATAAAAATTGCTCCGAGGGGGTGCTTAATTTCGGAAGTATACGGTATTTTATTTATTTTATTTATTTATCTGTTATTTATGTTTAAAAAATTAAATCACTAAATTATTATTTAAAATATTAGGGTAAGCATTCAATATCATGTCTAAATTTCTTTTTTCAAAAATTTAATTTATTTGTTATTTATCTATCCATTTACTTATCTAAAATCATGAATAGGGAGTAAGTATTTTTTTCTATTATCCAGTACTGTTATCTTTGTGAATTTTCAATTTAATCCTTGTTTATAATAAATAGAGAGTAAGTATTTTTTCTATTATCCAATACTGTTAACTTTTGTGAATTCTCAATATAATCTTAGTTTGCCTATATAATTATCTAAAATAATAAATAGGGAGTAAGTATTTTTTTCTATTATCAAATACTGTTATCTTTTGTGAATTTTTTCAATTTAATCTTTGTTTATCTTTATAATTATCTAAAATAATAAATAGGAAGTAAGTATTTTTTCTATTATCCAATACTGTTATCTTTTGTGAATTTTCAATTTAATTTTTGTTTATCTATATAATTATCTAAAATAATAAACAGGGGGTAAGGATTTTTCTATTATCCAGTACTGTTAACTTTTGTGAAATTTTAATTTGATTTTTGTTTATCTATATAATTATCTAAAATAATAAATAGGGAGTAAGTATTTTTTTTCTATTATCCAATACTGTTATCTTATGTAA